TGTGTGAGGGCAGATGTTGTACTGAGGGCAGTGATTGTACGATGGGAGCTGTTGGTGTGAGGGCAGCTGTTTGGCTGTCGCATGGGCAGCTGATTGTACGAGCGGCAGCTGCTGGTGTTGATGGCAGCTGCTTCTACGGGGCAGCTGTTTGATGTCTGAGGGCAGATGCTTGTGTGGGCAGCTGCTTGTGTGAAGGGGCCAGGCTGTTGATGTATGGAGGCTGCTTGCACGAGGCAGCTGTTGATGTGATGGAGCTGCTGCTGTACGAGGGCAGCTGCTGCGTTGCTGAGGTGCAGCTGCTATTGTAGAGCGGCATCTGTTGATGTTCGCATGGAGGCTGTGGTACGAGGGCGATCTGCTGGGTGTGAGGTCAGCTGCTTTTGTGCGGGCGAGGGGCAGTGCGTGTACGAGGGCAGGTCTATCGATCAGTGCGCTATAAAACATTTCTCGAGCATGAGAAAAAAACGCGTCGTTTACACCGACCATGACAACATGTGAGACGTGAGCGCTAATGGATGCTCAAGCTGAAGCTCCAAGCTATCGCGCCAAATATCGCTTCAGCTATTCTCTCTCTCTCTCTCTCTGCTCTCGTCTCTCTGATGTCTCTGTCGCTGTCTCTCTCGCTCTGTGTCGTGTGTGTGTGTGTGGTGTGTGTGTGTGTGATGTGTGTTGTGTGTGTGTTGGGTGTGTGTGTGGCTGTGTGTGTGGTGTGTGATGTGTGTGTGCGTCGCCGCGCGCGCTTAAGCTGTGGTGGGCATATATGGATTATTATCATTACATCAAGAACAAATACGGCACTAACATCTCAAGGCAGTAGTGTTTGTTTTCCTTATAGTTACGGACCGCTTTTGATTTGACTCAGTTTTGTTCCATTTAAAAACACACATCACACAGTGACTATGCAATTCCAAATGTGAGTTTCACTTCGTTTTAGTATCACGGCCGATACAATTTCTTTGCAACACATTCTTCTGCAGTGTGTTTTGTTGCCAAGCCACACGGAGCAAACGCCTCGTAGTTGCAACCGCAGACATGTTTTTTTCTACGGTTAATTTTTCTGTTCACTTATTAACGCAGATGGCGGGGGTCGTTGTGTATCAGGTCTACAGATATGGTACGACGGTAGTTTTAGCTTGTTTAGTATTATGCTTTATATTTCTTATATGAAGCGTAGGTTAGGGTTAGGGTTACGTGTCTAGGGCTAAGGCGTCACTCTGCAGTACAAGTCTGGTACACTTTGTGGATACATATAGGTACCTCGGGTACATATCTAGTCAGTACCTGTGAGTACGACAACGACCTTGAGCCTTATTAACGTTCGCCGTCTCTTCGAGCGATTATCATTGCAGGATGGGGTCGTTGTCTATCAGGTACTACAGATATGTACCCGCAGGTAGTTCTAGGTGTTGTTAGTATTATGTTTATATCTTATTAATACAGGTAGGCTTCACGGTTAGGGTTAGCGGTTAGCGGCTAGGCGTTTGGGTTAGTCCGCCGTACACTTCTGTAGTACAAGTCTGTACACTTTGTGTATAAAATACTGTAGTAGCCTGATACGACACGAACCCTTTCAGCATTACTATTTGCCATGCTACCGATATAACAAATCAGTAGCAGCAAGATGACACGACTCTGAGCGCCAGATACAAGCTTGTGCCAGCTGTGAACAACATAACAAATTTCGAGTGATAATTCATTATACGCCGTCAAAAATGATGCCCGAAATAATACGTTGCGCCGACGTGTTTAACGGACATACGCGCCCCTTCTCCCTTCCTATCCCACATACTACATCAATTCGATAAGCGCCTAGAAAGGACGCGGGAGTTTTTCTTGCAGCACGATGATGTATTAAGTAACTATACGCGTCGTAACTCGCCAGAGGTCCGCGCCTAGATAATTATTAAGTCTCGCCACTGTAACAAGTGAACGACGTAAGAACGCAGCACAACGTCAAACTGAGACAACTGGCGTTTATTCATATGCCGATATATTACAGCGCAGAGGCAGCAGGGGGGAGGTTTCACAGAATAACGGTAGCAGCAGCAGCAGTAGTAGTTTTAGTGGTAGTAGTAGAAGCTGCCATTCGTATACGCACCAGCCAGTTGGCGATGGGGGTTGCGGTAGTAGTAGTATCACGGATTCAGGAAAAGGACAGGTAAAGCCGGTCACGAGGTAACAAAGGGCCGTTTCGCCAACCCAACCGACGAATGTGCACTCGCGCAAAATTATAAGCCATAAAACTAGTACGAAAGAGGAGCGCGAGTTGAAAGTGAGGATGTGAGTGAATGAGAGAGAGAGAAAGAGAGAGAGAGCAGAGAGAGAGAGATAGGGGAGAGAGAGCCTTGGCTAGGGAGGAGGAAGTAGGCGGCTAGGAAGCGCTCATCCGATATTCCTCTTCTTCATCTTCTCTTTCTCTCCTTCTCGGACCACCACAAGCAACAGCCGCCCGTGCTTCGCTACGTCGCTCCTCCCACTCATGCAGCCTCCTTCACTTCTCTTCCCTGCGCTCAGCCACCGCTATGTGCGGTTCTCCTCACTTTCCTCCTCCCTTCTCTTTCCTATGGCGCTCAGCCACGCCTAGTGCGTCTTCCTCCTCCCTTTCTCTTTCTCGGACGCTCAGCACCGCTAGTGCGGTCTCCCTCCTTCCTCCTCCCTTCTCTTCCCTAGCGCTCAGCCACCCGCTAGTGCGGTCTCCCTCCTCCCTTCTCTTCCCTAGCGCTCAGCCACCCGCTAGTGCGGTCTCCCTCCTTCCTCCTCCCTTCTCTTCCCTCGCGCTCAGCCACCAGCTAGTGCTCTTCCCCGCCTCCCTTCTCTTCCTTTACACCCAGCCACATACCAGAGTTCCCTGTCCTTCATTCCTCGGTAGCACCCACCCGTGTTGCATCCCTCCTATCTTCTAGATGGCTACGCGCGTGCGTGCGTGCGTGCGTGCGCGCGCGCGCGCGTGTGTGCGTGTGTGTGCGCGCGGGTCGACAGCGCGACATCTCTGCATGACGACGCGCATCTCACACCCGAGCGCGTGAAAACAGCCTGCGATGATCGAACTCACTATCCTGCGGGTTAGACAGCAACGTCTGCGCTTCACCCCCTTCATCCTCCCTCCTCCTCCTCCGCGGCGCTGGGTTTCCCCCGCTCCGCTAGTACTTTTTCCCTCTCGTTGTTTTCATTTCTTTCCTCTCCTTTCTTTGCGCGCACGGGCGTAAACGGCTTTCCGTGTCGGAGGAAGTAAACAAGTCTCCCCACATGGCGACATCACCGGCAGCTGACCTTTCAATGCCAGACATAGAGGAAACAGAGGAGCTCCGAAATAGGCGCTGCCGCACACAAGAGGTCGCCGTCTACGTACGCAGGCTAAAGCTTGCCGACTAGCGCGCGCAAGACGTTATTATCGTTCGTCAAAACAAAACGCAGGGCAGGGTAATTTGTGGGACTTACTTTTTCAAGGTCTTGGAGAAAAGGTTATTTTTTCGGGGGTTCTTCCTGGGGTGTAGATAAAAATGTTATTTGTGTGTGTGTGTGTGCGTGTGTGCGTGCGTACGTGTGTGGACGGGTACTTCCCGGGGCCTGGAAGTTAAGGGAATACGTGGTGCCTACTTCCCGGGATCTGGAAGAGACACAGGAATTTCCATTCCAATTCCACGGGGAGCGGGGAAATTTATCGTGATAAGGAAATACCCACGGCGACGAGCAAGGCACGTTAGGCTAGGCTTGCGCTTGTGAGAGTATCTACTGCAGATTATAGGACTGACAACAAGAACAACAGGTTACTGTGAGTGCTTACGGAAGAGCGATGCACACGCACGACACTACGTTCAGCCGATAAGACAGCCGAGTGCAACGCCACGAGGCAATAATTTAACACGTGGAAAATTTCTTACATCCTTGCACGCCGACCGTGACACACCGTGGATAACATAGACACGTCGAACATGCGTTAAAAAATATCTCTTATTAAACAACATCTCGATTCGTTCTAATTAAAAGTTTGAGCTCAGCCCAATTCACTATAGTGACTACACATCTCGTGCTCGTAACACCTTCACAACGGCAACACATATCATCGGTATGGCACACACACAACCGCGACTGTAGAAGGCATAAATATATATTTATTTATGTATGTACACCTAGCTACGTTAGCTCGTAACGCCTACTCGGCGACGCCGGTAAACAGGAGCCTCGCCAGCGAAAGAAAATCCCCGAACATCTGTCGATTGGGCGTTGACGCAGAGTTAAGCGGGTTTCACGCGCCACGAGCGCACGAGGCAGAGAGATGAGGCGTCTGCCTTGAAAAACTCTCATGAAAACTACCCGTCGCCCGCCCCCTGCCACAGTGGCAACGTTACAATCGTCGATGTCCTAGGCAACGATTAATGACGTACGGCGAGAAAATGACAAGCAACAAGTGAGCGTGGGATGATTTCCCTGCGAGCGTTACCGCGGCGACGGAGGCAGGCCTGCAGGAGAATCTAGTGACGCAGGCTCCCTCTGCAGGCCCGTCGCTATTCTAACCTCGGTAAAACCTCAGCACTAATGCTGCACGAGTGCAACATAGCAGAACAGCGCCACTCTCGGCCAAAAATGATATGAATGCGAGAGCACATGTGCCGAGCCAGACATTGGCAACGTATATAAGACATCTCGACGTCACTCTCACACCTACTACATACGACTTCTTCCTCACTACACAAGGCACTTGCGTATCAGCTTTGTTCCTAAACAAACGCGCACTCACATGTCGGCGTGACACGTACGCTGACGACATTTCCTAACAATCGCCGCCAACATAACTGCACCCCCTCCGACGCTGTCCAAAACCGGGCAGTCACATGATCAACACGTGATGAATAGGACGAGTGCTCGCCGCTGCTATCCAGAAATGCTGGCGCGCAACAGCAGCCGCAGCGGGGGTGCTTAGATTGGTGCGCGCGGCTACACGGGTGACAGCAGAACGATCGAGCTTTCGGCTGACGTGATGGGCAGACCGTTCTGTCGGTGATACTCTATCAGGTGGCCAACGCTCTCAAACACGCGGTCCTTCGTGCGCACCTGCATGCAACGGGAGAAAAAGCCACGTCAGATGTCAAGTACTGTCAATAATAGGTGCGACGATTAAACACGATTAAACGATTAACTTATGCTTAAATTATGCACTTTAATTATGCTTGAATTACGTTTACACTAGAAAAGACTGTAGACCAGTAATCATGAAATATAATTTGTAGGAACATTTATATTGTGATATGTGATTTTTAAGATTGTAATCCAACATTACGATACTACTACATAACTATGATATGCACAGAGATACTATGCTACGCACATAGAAACCATGCTACACGCACGCACGCACGCACGCACGCACGCACGCACGCACGCACGCACGCACGCACGCACGCACACA